CCCCCCCTTCCCCCCCCCCCCCATTTATTTGCCTGCCTCATCTCCTATGTCTTAAAACCATGTGACAAGTTTATTCTTCTGTTTCTGTTTTGTTCTCTCTCTGTCTCTCTGCCCCCATTTCATGTGAAATTATATTTTACTTTTAAAGATATATAATAATATTGTTGAATAGAACACACTTGGTGGGTGCTTTGTCTTCACCAGTGTGTCAAAGATTTGTCACAGAAAATGTTGCAGCATGGGTATATATGGCCAGCACTAGCACTGAAGAAGCACCTATTATAAATGACGTGAATCTTCAGCTGCAGCATGGGTTTCTTATAGAAGTCCCTGGAACCCTATTTGTTCAGGATTTAGTTCAGGCATACCTGCAGGGGATCAGCAACTTTCTTTTAGAACTTAGATAGCAAGGATGGCTACTGTTTATTAAAAAGAGCTTCGTGTTCCTGGTAGGTTTGCCATGTCTTTGGTATGGCTGCAGCAGGTGGCCTACCAATTACAATCTAGAGAGCTTGTGTCTAAAAAACATCTGGCACCTTCCTAAGAATTATAAACCACCTGCGCGAGTCGTGAAGTCTGCATCCTATGCAGGGTATGTTGGATCAATGGCTCATAAATCCAGGCTTGGGAAAGACCCATACATCACTCTCATTAACCAGGTGATAGATGGGAGTGGATTGGTTCACCCTATGGAGGTGGAACTGCGTTCTGGTGACACCGAACTTGTGTGGGGTCAAAAAAAAAAAAAAAATACAGACCCCAACTCCACTCTTGATTCCAGCGAGGAGGATAAGCTCTCAGGAGTCCCAAGAGAGGCTGAACCTAGCGAGAAACCTCCAGCTATATCGGAAACTTCTATGCCAGGAGTAACCATGCTGCAGCATACTGCCATCCCTACTAACTTTTCTATTTCCTTTTCTTCAGGTTCACACAATCCCTCATTGATTGGACTGCATTGTGATATGTAATATTCCTTCTTTTTGGCAATTATATTTAAGTTTGTTTGAAATAATACCAAACTGTCAATCAGTTTTTTTCTGCTGTACCTTGCTCTCAAGTCCTGCAGTTATTCTCTTCTTATCCAGTGTTGTACCATATGGTAGTAAAAACATGTACAGCATGCCGCTAGAGCTGAGCTTCTGGGGACTCCCAGAGAACAGACTGGGTTGTGTTAACAAGCTTAGATACTATGGTCACTACTTGAAGGAGACCCCCGGGACATCCAAGACGGGGGTAGGAGCTGGACTGACCCTGGGGAGTCCACTGTCCACTAGGGTCTGCTTGACCCAGGCTGAGGTATGTGACGGCAGTATCAGCATTTCATGATGAGTTTAGCTCACATAAATTTGTTGGTTGGAAGTCCTATTTTGTATCTTGCCACATGGCTTTTTTTATTTTTCTGAAAAATTGAAATTTTTGCATTAACACTTTGCTTTTTTTAATACTTTTTTTCAAATTGATTATGCAATTGTGTGGTGTGCTGTGTTTAAGCAATTCAAATAAATTGTTTTCGTATTTCAGATGAAGGGACAGTTGGACAAATTATTTGAAGATTTAAAGCAGTATGATACAACAAAAACTGCTGAACCAGCCAAGGTTGGTAACTCCCCCCCCCCCCCCACCTCACCCCCAATTATGAAAATAATATTAGCTATTAGTCTGAAATAAACTGGACAAAAGTGAGTCCATTAAGTTGTACAGAAGGCCCATAGTCAATGAACTGCATTTTTTGCAAGTTTTCATGTTCAAAAGTCCCCCCCCCCCCTTGAAATTGCTGGCAATGGGCTGTTACAGTAAATGATTCTTTGATAAATTGCAAGTTTAGTCAATGCAAGAAAATGTTGAATGTATGCTGATGTTATTCACTGGGAATGTTTTAGAATGTGTAATTGTGAAATGTATATGCACAGTCGATGGTTAAAAGTATGTTTAGAAATTGTGCTGTTAATCTATATATGTCCCACACATAGGCATATGGAGCATGATCTGCAAGTAGTCTTTATCATTACCATCAGTATTAGTAATATACTTCTATTAAAAGATGACCAATAGAACAGTGAGTAACTTCAATTTCAGGCCATTTCTACACCACTCTTCCCACACCAGAAACAAGCTCTTCATTGGATGATACAAAGAGAAAGTGCGACCGAGCTGCCACCATTCTGGAAGAAAACCAAAGATGGCAGATACTTTAATTCGGTGACAAATTACGCCAAGGAGCAGAGACCTCAAAGCGTACGCGGAGGAATTCTAGCTGATGATATGGGCCTTGGGAAAACGCTGCAGATGATTGCGCTGATCGTGACCAATTTTGTAGATGATAAGCCGCTAGCGGAGCGTGTACCAGGAAATATCAGAAGTTCTCGGGTAAGGGAAATGTCTCCTCAGATGAAAACCAATCAAGATTCCTCTGTCAATAGCTTTAAAGGAAGAAGTAACTGATATGTACCAGGCAATGTTTCATCTGCTGACAGTCAGACTTCTTCAGGAAAATGAGGGCTGTGATAGGTATTATCAACTGTCACCCCTCAGGTGTGTTGTCTGGTGAGGTGCCGCCCTCCTCTGCCCCCTCATCCACCTTGGACTTAGCAGCAACCAACCCCTTTCGGGGTTTCTTACCACGCCTCCACCAAGGAGCCCTCATTTCCCTTTTTGCTTACTCCTCCCCCCACCCCCCCACCCTCACATGGGCCAAGTGGTGCAAGAGCATGAATCCATGCTGGGACAGCAGCTTCAGGGAGGTGTGATCCTGAAAAAGAGATGAAAAAGTTATTAGGGATGATGGTATTTTGCAGCATGGTTATGCCTGGTATAGAAGTTTCTGGAACAGCTGGAGGTTTCACGCTGGTTTCAGCCTCCCTTGGGACTCCAAGAAGTCTATCCTCCTCACTGGAGTCAAGACTGGAGTTGGGGTCTTAATTTTTTGACCCCACACCAAGTTTGGCCTCACCCAATTGTGATTCTACCTGGGTAATGAGGGTTATGTTTGGGTCTTTCCCAAGCCTGAAATCACAAGTTTTTGGTCCACCATACTCCACGGAGGGAGCAGATTTCAAGACTCGTGCAGGAGGTGTGTAATTCTTGGGAAGGCGCCAAACATTCTTCTCAATCCAGTTTTTTGACGCAAGCCCCCTGGATTGTAATTGGTAGGCCACCTGCTGCAACCATGCCAAAGACATGGCATACCTACCCGGAGCATGAAGCTCATTTTTATAGATGGTAGCAATCCCTGCCAGCAGTGTTTTGAAATATAGGCTTTGATCTTCCCCAGGCAGAGCCTGGGCCAAATCCTGGATAAACTGGGTACCATGGACATCAATTGGGGAACCATGTTACAATCTTAGCGAAGTATCCTTCACTACTGGTGCTTCTTCTTTAATGTTGTTGGTCATATCTGTAATAACAATGAAAAATAACAATTAGATTTGACATTGTACACACTTGTATTTATCAGTGTTAAGTGCTTCAGTTGAAGTGACATTGACGCAGGATCCATGATACCACTCATTACGGTATTGCATATTTGTAACAGGCTTGCACCATTTTTTCCTTGGGAGGTTTGTACCTGTTTGGGAGATGATTTTGTCAATTTTTCTTCTCAACCATTATCATTCCCTTGCTTGGAAAATCTAACAACATAAAGAAATTATATATTAGATTTTTTTCCTGTGACTTTAGTTGATGTTCTCATTTTCTAGACATAGAACATTACACTGAGGCTAGCCTGGTATCTTACAACTAGGCTGTTCGGCTTATTTTTAAATTTGCTTTCCACTTCTGTCGTGTTTTTTTTTCAACCCATCTTATATTGTCTTTACTAGTCCTTGGGCTATTCTGGATAACATATCTGGTAGGTCTTCTCTTTTCATAGTCTGTTTTATATCACTCTTTAAATCTGCCAACTCGGCCAATCTGTTGGCAACTTGCCAAGACTGCTTTGGCAGTTTCTTTAAGCCCTTTAAAATGCAATCAGCTTAATTTTTTTCACTTAATAGAAGATATATATTGTTATATTTCATGTATAATTCCCTAGTAAATTGCTCTAAAAATTGTTTTGAGGCATTTACTGTTTATTTTTCTGTGGTGATGTTAACATCTTTGAAATTTCTCATTTATATAGAATAAAATATTGAGTTCACATGTAGTGTTTATTTCTTAGCCTAGGTTCTGTGCAAATTACGCTTATATCTTCAATCTCTTAATGTATGAGGCTCATTTTTGAGTTGTGATCCTGTGAAAATGCTGGATTGACAGATCACAGATGGCCAGTAGATTCTGAAACTTGTTTAAAGACAATAGGTGAATTTCTTTCAATGTTTTACATTGTATCTTAAATTCTTATCTGTGTAGATGTCTTTTGGGTCGGCTGATCTTAAGTCTGTAATTATCTCCCCAGCTTGAAAAAGATGCCAGAATCCAAGCCAACAGGAGCAAGGGGTACAAGACAGAGAAGAATACAATCAAGAAAAAGCTGAAGATGCGTGGCATGGCCACCAGTTCTAGTAAAACTGATGAAGTGACTCTGGTACCTGAGGGAAGTTCTGAGGATGAGGAGATTCTCTCTGATGATTGTGTGTCTGATGAAGACAGCTCAGGTATACCAGACACTTTTTATGTACAGACACAGTAACACCTGTACATAAGGTTATTACTTGAAAATTTCAAGCTCCTCTTTTTTTTTCTTTTCAAGATTTAAGGGTTGCAGGCACTCACAACAATGTACTTTCTGACATTTCAACAAAATCTTATAAGTTACAGTCACAAGTTAGATTTTTTAACTTTTAAAAAGATAAATAGGCCAAATTTAAAAAAGTGTATACCTTAAAAAGTCTTTAATGGTGAAAGAAAAAGTTGATGAGAAGATTTTTTTGTTTTTGTGCCCTAATAGAAGAGGAGAGTCAGAAGGCGTCCAGTACAGTGATGATACTAAAAGAGGACCCTGAGTTTAAACCGAAAGGTTCCGTCCAACCACAGGGCACTTCTAATGCGAGGTCACGACCAAGAAGGTAGTTTTGATTTTATGTTTTAATCCAGGTAAAATGGCTATATGATATATGGTGATGTCAATAGTGTTGATTTAGAAATCATTGAAGTGTTTTGTACTCAAATGATTTCTGAGATAGCTATCCTTTGTTATTTGAATTTGTTGGTAAACATTTGGAGTTTAAATTTGACAGTGTGTCTCAAATTGTTTCTTTAATTTTGTATCCTAATAAAATGATATATTTCAGAAATGTAGGTAAACCTGTGAAGTACACATCAGACAGTGAGGATAAAATAATGTACCTCTCCGACAGTTCCACTGAGAGCACAAAGAATACCAAAGGTATGCTGCCACTTTATAATGCAATGAGACAAATTTTAAGAATATTTCTACCTTATTGTTAGTCTTCGGTTTCATTATAATTTGGAAACTAGTGAATAAAAACAGTCATGTATCAGGAATTTTACAGATTGTGACCTTTTGTCAAGAAAAAGACGGATATTATAAGTTATGTTATGTAAGTGATGATGAATTTTTGCTAAAATAGTTAAAAACTAAATGACTTCTCATATTTGACTCTTGCTCTCAGCAATTTATTTCAAATGAACCTTTGTTTTTCAGCATCAAAGAATAAAGGCAAAGGCAAAAAGAGCAGTCCTTCGGTGAATGTGGAACCTTTTTCAAACTCGCCTTCTGAAAACTCATCGCCTGAAATGAACACAGTTGCAATACATAATGACAAGCAGTGTAATACTCTACCTCGGACTTTAGATGCCACCGTCTCTCTTACTGGTGCTACAGTCTCTCTTACTGGTGCTACAGTCTCTCTTACTGGTGCTACAGTCTCTCTTACTGGTGCTACAGTCTCTCTTACTGGTGCTACAGTCTCCCTGAATGGCACTGCAGTCATTCTTGATGGTGCTTCTGTGTCTTTGGATGGCGCCCCTGTCTCAAATGGTGCCCAAACCTCGAATGGTGCTTCTGTAACACATGCTGATACTTTCTCTGTGGACACTGCTACTGTCTCTTTAAATGGTGCTTCAGTTACTTTAGGTAGTGATATAGTCACTGTGAAGGATGCTACAGTTACTCTTGGTGGCACTACCACCTCTGGGAACGGTTCCAGTGGCAATAGCAGCACAGTCGTTGCAGGTGGCACTGAAATCTGTGCTGAAACTGTTCCACTTCCTGATGGCAAAGTTGTTACAGACCCTGTACGTGAAGGCCTCTCACAGTCTGTGCCTGAAATTTCTACAAACCCTGTACAAGGGGGCCTAGCAGACACTGTAGGTGAGGTTATTGCTGAAACTGAGCAAGAAGCCGATGTGCAAGAAAGGCCAGATTGTGCACCAGATGACCCCAAACTGGCACCAATGCAGGCTGCAGATAGTGATGTCATTGAAGGGCAGGGATCAAGTGGATCTCATCGTGAGCCTGCCCAACCCAGGGGGAGAAGAGGAAGATCCAAGTCTGCACCAGCACCAAAACCATCATCCCCAAATGTCAAGAGCAGACCCAAAAGGTTATTTTATTTATTTATTTATTTAAATTTTACCTATTTGTTAGTTTGTTTGATTTTTTACATTGCATGAGTAACTCAGATGTGGAATCACTGTGTTCAAATGTATATGAAACAAATTGTATTTTAAAACTTTTTACAGGTTAACATTTTGTTCAGTAATTATCTCTAATTTAAGCAATATGACACCCAAGTGTCCCTTTGTTAAACATTGATAAGACTAAATATTATATAATTCATGTTTAAAGAAACATCAAGAAGCCTGCCAGATATGATGAAGAAGAGATATTTGTGCCAGCTAATATAAGGAAACTAATTCACCAGACTGACCCAGGGGTGGAACAAAAGGATTACCACTGTCAGATACTTACCAAGAAAGGTAAACTTGTTGGAAATATTTAAACTTTCTATTTGTCAAGAAAAAAAAACAGTAGTGAAATAGTTTATGACTGTAAGTATGTTTTAAGGCATATAATAGAAAAAATAGATGTTTACACTTTTTATTAGCCTAAATTATACAGCACATAACACATATTTGAATTCTCTTGTAGGCAAACATGGGAGAAAGTCAACCACTGTCTTGGAAGGTAATACAGAGTGCCAAGACCCAGAAGAATCAACTTTAAACATCCAATTCAAGGAACCACGGCAAGATGGTACTATTCCAACCCAGGCAGACGCATCATCTGAGAAAAATAAAGAAGTTCATAAACCAGATCTGGTATCTCAGGCTCTGGTGCCTGTTGGAAGCCCTGGCACAGGTCCAGTATTAACAGTGAGACTGGAGAATATCAGGGTGAGATCCGAGGACCCTGTGGCCACACACTCCACCCCTGTCACTAACGGTCAAGGTACCATCATCCAGAACCAGCCAGGTGTGTCCACCCTCCAGCTGACCAACACCACCTTCAAGAGAACCGTCCTGCCGAGCTGGCGTCCAGAGAAAATTGCTTCTGGTCAACCACAGCCACTGCCTCCGTTGTCCAGTGTGTCCAAAACAATCACAGGTGACCAATTCAGACATATTAAGCATGGTACAGGTCCTGTGGAGATGTCCAGTGGACAAACCACCAATGTAACTGACCAGTCCAAGTGGCCAAAGACAGAACCAGCCACACCAGAATCTCCTGTGCCCCCATGTGTTGGAGTGGAGACTGAAGTTGCCACAACCCCATACTCCTTGAAGAAGGAAAAACCCTGTAACTCTCCCTTAGTGAAGCAGGAATTCAGCTTGAAGAAGTCACGGAAGAGGAAGAGTGCCCCTTTTATACCTGGTGCCAAAGGTATGGTAGAGGGATGAGATTTTTATAACTATTAGCGGGTTATTGACTTTTTCGGGTGGTTTGGGTGCTTACAACAGTAATGAGAGTTTTCTGGCAGATTTTGGACTTTTTTTGGAGCCAAAGCTGCTCATCGCTGATTGTAGAGTATAGAATAGAATGAACCAAGTTGTAAGAACCACTCTTTTAAAGCCAAATTGAATGTAAGTGCATTTCCACCTTGTTGAGTGCTTGATCTACTTATGTATCCTATATATAATGCTTTACTTATATGATATGTGCATTATTTCAGTCCATCCTTTGCCAAATTTACCACCCCTGCCAAGTCTTGAGTTGCCAGATCTTGATGCTGACGTCTCCAGTGGTAAGAAGAGGAAAGGCACAGTGTCTGCTCCCATAGGTAATTGATGGTCAATGAAAAACCCACCCACCCCCTTTAAAAAGAATAAAAATGAAATATTGGACAGAGAAAGTGGCCTTATTGTTCTGTTTTGATATGATAAATGTCCTGGCTTGATTGTCATCTGTTAAACTGGGTGTTGAATTTTGACATGGTGAATAGTTTTAAGACATATGTTCAAATGTTACTTTCAGTGATAGATGAAGACTCTCTACCAGATGTGGACGTGAAAGAGAACATTCAAAATAAAAGTCCAGGTAAGTGACACTATGGGACCATTCCCAGACCCTGTTGTACTAACTATGGATCGATCTATCTCTGAGGGGTTCCTTGCTAAATTGCTTTCAGCTTAAGCAGCTTAGATGAAA